AGCTCTCTGAACTTAGCCCTGTAGCCCCATCAAAAGAATCTCATGAGACTAAAACACCAGGAGCACGGAACTCACAGAGATTCTCAAAGCCACACAGATGAAGAGGGAGAGGAGAGAGAGGTAGATCTGGAGTCGCTTCCCTCCAAACCGCTTCTTTAGATACTCCGGCATGGTCATCACCTGCAGACAGACACCGACAGGGACTCACCACCTCGGATCCCAGGGCATTCGGACCATCCAACGTTCACTAAGCACCTGTGGGCAGGTGGGCCTGTGTGGGCCACCCTGGGGAAGCAGGGATGACAAAGGCACAGCCTCTCAAGAAGGCAGCAAAGCTGGAATGAACACAGCTCCAACTCCACTTTAAAGTGGCTCCAGTTACTATTATTTTTTATAAGTCTTTACCCCAAGGACAGCACCGTTCAACACAGCTTATTCAAGCCTGGAGCTAGAAGGGACCCAGGGTGAGTGCATGGGGAATATATGGTGACCTGCAGAGAGACTGGCCAGAAGGCTTGCCCCTCAGCACCCTCATCTTAGGAATTATTTCAGGGTACAGCACCCATGGTCTGAGCGCCAGCAGCAGCAGGAATAGATGTGGGAGCAAGGCCCTGAGAGACAGAGCAGGTTGAAGGGGAGCCACCATAGCTGTGGCATATCCTACCCCTCATTAAAAAAAGAAACCACTCTGCACATGTCAGAACAGAAAAATCAGAATGAAGGACAATGCCATGTGTTGGCGAGGACGTGGGAAGATGGGAGCCCTTGCAGCCGTGAGGGCCAAGGGACAGCTGACCGCGCCGTTGGCAAGAGCAGTCTGGCAGCACTTAGTGGGCTTTTGTAAATGTCAGCCCCCAAATCCTGGGACAAATGGTATTACCCAGGTTTCCTGACTGAGCAGAAAGAATGAGCATATCAGAGGATGTCCGCCAGATGTGCCGAGAAGACCTGCGGGTACTCACCCCTGCCTTGATGTATATGGGGACAAAGAACCACCCTAGAACCGGCAACAGCAGCAGGGCCTACGAGAAACCAAGAAAAGCGTGTGGCGTTAGAGAGGCCTGGCTTGTGGGCTTTGTCTCTTCATGACCTCTGAGTCTGAAAATCAAGTGCTGTAAGTCCTCACTTACTGTCATTGTTGATAGGTTCTTGGAAATTGTCCCTTTAAGCAACATGATGTATAACGAAAACAGTTTCCCATGGACTAACTGGTACACAAGAGTTAAGTTCTTTTTTTTTCTTTTTAAAAATATATCTTTATTGATTTTAGAGAGAGGAAGGAGAGGGGGAGAGAGAGATAGAAACATCAATGATGAGAGAGTCATTGATCAAGCCTGCAACTGGGCATGTGCCCTGACCGGGAATTGAACCCCGATTGCCTGGATCCCAGGTCGATGCTCAACCGCTGAGCCATGCCCAGCCGGGCAAGAGTTAAGTTCTTAGGGCATATTCCTGGTCACAAAAACATCACCAAGCTTCTAAACAACGATCTCAAACACATCTAATACTAAATATTGAAATAAATGTGACCTATAAGTACATTTAAGAAAGATGAACTAAAAATATCATTATTTTCCAGCCAGCTTATTCCAGTTCAGGGTCATGGGTGGGCTGAGCCTGTCCTGGCAGCTCAGGGTGCAAGGCAGGACCCCACCCTGGGCAGGACGCCTTTCCATGGCAGGGTGCGTCCACTCCCACCCCCCACACTCACCCAGACTGGGACAGTGCAGGCACACCAATTCACCTCAAATCTCTGGGATGTGGGAGGAAACAGGGGTACCCCGAGAAAACCCACACAGACATGGGGAGAAAGTGCAAACTCCACGCAGACAGTGGTCCCTGCGGGAAATCAATTTTTTTTCTCACTAACGTTATAATGAAACAACATTGAACTAAATGATGTTATCCAAGGACCTGCTGTGGGTTTGCTTGGATCCTGTCCCACTCAGCCCGTTAGGATCCATCCAAGACAGCTGTGGATTTCATTCCTCTGTTTCAGAGGTTGTCATTTCCTGGGGCTCAGGCGGTGACAAAAGATGCTCAGTGAAAAATGAACAGAAGAGAAGAGGCCTGGACACAGTGGGACCACTGGAAGGTCATACAATCTTTGCCAAAAGGAATGATTCTTGAGTGGCAGGAATTACAGACAGAGTGACAAAGCAATGAGAAACAAACTTGGAGACAAGGGATATTCCCAGTGCTCCCCAAGTCTTGTCACTGATAACAGTGATAATAGTCTTCACAGCCAGAATAGGAGGTGCAGCTGTGATAAGCACAGTGGGTCCTGTCTTACGGAGGGGAAAGCTGAGCCTCACAGAGATTTAAAAAGTCCGAGGTCTCAGGCTAAAAGAGCCAGGCTCTTGGCAGCCTTTTAATCACACCCACTGGGGCCATAGGGCATCCTGTCCATGCCTTTGGAGGCTGGGCCCATTCTAGAGTCCCTGATACTGCTGAAGTAAAACCGGGGGCAAAATCTGCAACAAGGGAGGGGCACTGGCATTTGTAAGGAGTCAAGGTCACTTCCTGAGTGCATCCGGAGACGGTCTGTCCACGCTATCACCATGATGCAACTTTCACATAAGCGTCTTGCTCTGACGGATATGCAGGCACATGGAAATGCAAACACTAGAAAGGGTAAGAGAAAGGAACAGAAAAACTCTGGCAGCTCAAGAAATATGATGGGACGTGCTCGGCCACCTGTTAGGTGATGGGGTGGTATAAATGACTCGACAGAAGGTGGCCCCTGTCCTTAAAACACTTAGGGTCTAACTGAGTGGACACAGCTCCCACTGATGAAATGGTAGTAGAAGGATTAAGAGCCCAATGTGAAGTCTTGTCGCTTCTCCCCAGTGTTGCTGTCACGTCCTTAGTCAGGCCCCCTTGGTCAGTTTCTATGCGTCCAGCTGGCATCCGGACCGGGAAGGCCCCTCAGCCTGTGCCGACCCCCCCCCATCATCTTGGATGGGCCCCTGTGCTGTGCGAGGTCTCTCCAGGCGCCAAGTGTGCTCCCCTCCTTGCACTTTCTACGCCGCAGTGAGTGTGTATCTGCCTCTCACTGGGATGTGAGCTTCTCAATGGAAGAAACCGTTGCTTTTACATTTTTTAATTGCCTGCATCTAATTCAGAGCCGGACACATAGTGTAACAGCTCAGGGCGAAGAGATACAGGTGAGAGCGAAAGTGATCAAGGCTGTCAAGTGAAAGTGGGGATTGACCCACAGAGAAGTGACACTCCTGGTGGGAATAAGTGGCAGAGCAAAATCTCGGAGGTGGAAAATGTGACCGGCGTGGCCCAGGCAGAAAGGGGTCACACAGGGAAGGCCCTGAAGTTCAAACAAGGAATTCATTAAAAAAAGAAAATAGGGGAGCCACACCAAAAAGGAGTTTATTTCATACAGACTCCCCCCAAAACATACCTGCATAGAGCTGTTTTAGAATTGTTATTTAAAGGAAAAAACCCATGATGTCACTTACATTCCATTCAAAGACCGCAGTGGCAATTCCTGAAGCTGCTCCGGTCCCAGCCAGCCCCACAAAGTGGCCGCTGCCGATGTTGCTGGCGAAGAGAGAGGCGCCCATCTGGAATCCAAGAGAGCAGACTAGGCTGAGTCAAAGGCTCAGGGCAGGCTTCTCAAAAGCGGGTGAACGTGGAGATGCTTCCATCACTACTCCTTGGGGCAGGAATCGGCAAACTACAACCGTGGGCTGAATCCAGTTTTTGTATGCTTGGTAAACCAAAAATATGTTTTACATTTTGTAACGGTTAAAAAAAAAAAAAAAATTTGAAGAAGAATACTATTTTGTGAAATGTGAGATGATATGATATTCAAATTTCAGTGTCCATAACAGTTTTATTGGAGCACAGCCACGCTTGTTGGTTTTATGTATTTACTCTGGCTGCCTCTGAGCTACAGTGGTGGGGTTGTGTGGTTGCAACAGGCTGTATTGGCCAATGAATTCTAAAATACCTGCACCTGGCAATTTATACAAAAGCTTGCTGACCCCTATCTATCTACCTGGATGCTCTGAGTTCAGCCTGTTCTTGGCCAAGAGCTGCCAGAGGTCCCGTCGGCCCCTTTAATCAGCCTCAAGGACCCCAAAATTGTGCAGGAGGGAGTTCCTCTTCAGCCATCTGGCCCTCAGGACCCTCTTTTAACACACCTCCCTTCCCATCACATTGTCCACAGTTCTAAAGTCTCAAAGATCAAAAGAGATCTCTTGAGTGGGCACAGATGAGAACTAGTCCTGATGGAACAGAGTTGGGGTTTGGGCCCCTGCCAGTGCTTGTTCTTCTGCTCCCACCGTCTCAGCCCCCTGTAAAGTCACCTTTTCTATTCAGGCATTTGGGACCAGGGGATGAGATTAAGCTCATTTGTAGCTATGGGATTGGTCGAGCCTTGAATGTTTCATAAAAACAGCCCTAAGAAGGCAATGCTGGATTGGACACCCCAACAAAAGTCCGTTTCAAGCCCTGGTTGGTTTGGCCAACGGACTTTTGTTTCGATTCCCTGATTGGGAATCGAACCCTGATTGCCTGGATCCTAGGTCGATGCTTAACCACTGAGCCACGCCCGGCCGGGCAGCATGTGCTTTCTTCACAGATCTGCTGACTAAATAGCATGAAGGAAAGTGGAGACAGGAATGACCTGGTCTGGGTGGTGGAGGCAGGCCAACTAAATAGCATGAAGGAAAGTGGAGACAGGAATGACCTGGTCTGGGTGGTGGAGGCAGGCACCCCAACAAAAGTCAGTTTCAAGCCCTGGTTAGGGTCTTGGCCTGCAGACCGAAGGGTCTGGGTTTGATTCCCAGTCAAGGCCAGGTACCTGGGTTGCAGGTTCTCCCCCCCCAGTAGGGGTGTGCGCAGGAGGCAGCCAGTGGATGTGTCTCTCCCACATTGATGTATCTCTCCTCCCCCCTTCCACTCTTCCCAAAAAGCAATGGGAAAAATATCCTCGGGTGAAGATTAACAATAACAAAAATCCATTTCGACTCTGCAGTTGGCCTGCCTCCACCACCCAGACCAGGTCATTCCTGTCTCCACTTTCCTTCATGCTATTTAGTCAGCAGATCTGTGAAGAAAGCACGTGCTGCCTGGCTGGGCGTGGCTCAGTGGTTAAGCGTCGACCTAGGATCCAGGTGATCAGGGTTCGATTCCCAGTCAGGGCACATGCCCGGGTTGCAGGCTGCTGCCAATCAATGACTCTCTCATCATTGATGTTTCTATCTCTCTCTCCCTCTCCTTTCCTCTCTGAAATCAATAAAGATATATTTAAAAAAAAGAAAGAAAAAAAAGAAAGCAGGTGCTGAGCACTCGTGGTGTGCCCAGCCTGCTGCTGACACGACATGGCACGGGCCCGCCCGGCAAGGAGCTGGGCAAGAGTCAAGGAGGCATCACATTTGCACCATCACAGGCAACGCACGTCCACTCTCACAACCGCCTAGGACACGGGACTAGACATTTGGGCTGCAGTGCGGGGCGCGGCTGCTCCGGTGAAACTGGGGTGAGGCTGGGTGTTGGGGGAGGAGAGGAGAGAGGGGGGCGCTCATCTAAACAAGAGCCAGCATTAGCTCAGGGCTGGGAACAGAGAGGGCATGTGCTGTGGGGCATAAGGAGCCAAGGCAGAAGGTTCTAGAGGACCAGGGAGAAAGGCCATGAAGCCGAGCTGAACTGGGCCTTCTCCAATACCGCGCTGCACCCGCTCTCGTGATTGGTGACACACAGCCATGCACTGAAATGATGGGGCAGGGATCTAGGAAAAGAGCAAGCAGGCAACTAACGCACATCAGAAATGATGAGCACACCTAATGTTTTCTTTGTTTACTCTTAAACACACGCACAGGACAGTCCTCTCCCAGAAACAATGACCACTCACCGGCCACCAGGCCACATCTCAACCAGCCAGGAAGAAGCCTCCCACAGTGCCCCGGTTGGTCTTCAGCATGGCCTGAGCAGAAGAAAAGACGCGTGAGGTCAAATCACAGCCCACGTACCCAGGATGCCCTCGGTGCTGCAGCCACGTGCTGATGAGACTGGCCTTTGCCAGTTCTTGCAAAGAGAGAAACATTTCCCTGGAAACCGTGATATAGCATTGATTTTTAAAGGACCACCAAGTCACAGTTTCAGAGGAACTCAGGGACTTTAGGAAATTCTATTTCTCGACGTTTGTCCTAATTGCTCTGCTGATTTTCATTTATGAAAACAATGTGAGGTATCTCTGAAGTTGTGTTTGGAAGAAAATTTGTAGCCTCAAGTTCATTACTAAAAGAAAGAATGAGCAATGAGTTACAAATCCAGCTCAACTAAGTTAGGAAGTGAGCTAATAACAATGGAAAATAAAAGAAGTGAGATAAAAAAAATAACGTCCTGATTCATTTTGCCACGTGCTGGAGGTGCTGAGCGGATTAAGCCTGAAGTTCCCAGAGCTGGCCCTGTTCACACGATGGGGTTGTTAGAATAAATTAAGTCACTGTAAACATTATTGATGTCACACACAAGAAAATGATTCTGAGAGAAAGACAGTGAAATCTGTGACAGCTGTTAAGGTTCTCTCAGCTTCGTCACACCACACCTTTCACTCCCCTAAGCCAGGTGCCCACCCTGAGTCCCCAATGGGCTCCTACATACCCACAGCCCGACAATCATCACTACCACGAAGTAGATGACAATGACAGAGATGTCAGCAGCGTTTCGGATGCGCTCTGACATCTCAGGAGGGCTTGGGGTCCCAGTCGTAGAGCTGGGGCTTAACGTGCTGGCCATGGCTGCAGGTGGTGCTGTCCCCCTGCTCAGGGATGGCCCTGTCCTTATATACGCGCTGGGTTAATGATCAGCCTCGAGCAGGTGGGGCCGCTATCAGGGCCTGCTCTTGGGCACGGGACCTTTAACCCTTTCTCCTGATGCCCTGAGACCCTGGCCCGCTATCAGAGCCTGCTCCTGGGCATGGGACCTTTAACCCTTTCTCCTGACGCCCTGAGACCCTGGCCCTCCAGCAGTCAGTGTTGTCTAAGTGGACTATGAGAATGAGAGGTGGGAGACAAGAAGTGGGGTGAGAATTGGAGGTGGAGAGTGGGGTGTGCATTGAGTGGAAAGACAGGGTCTTTAAGAAGATTTGACCAGATTGGGTGAGATTAGGGAGAGATGACAAGGGACAGAGAAGAACAGAGGTGAAAGGGCCAGGAAAGAATCAGGAGTCCCTTACAGGTCAGATAAGATTCCTGACCAGGGAATTTATATCCTTTGAAAGTGAAATTAATTGTGCAATCCATGGGTTCCAAAGCCCCATATTTTTCTGGAAAGGCCAATCTAAGTTGGCTCTTATAGGACACATCAGGACCTTAGTGGCCCATGAGGGAAAGGGAAGTGGCTGGGTAAGCACCCTCTCTACCTAGTTCTTTCCATTTCACCAACTTCTACAGTTGGCGTGCACAGCAGACTTCTATCACCTCTTGAATGTCCCTTGATCTTAAATGCTACAGAAGTTTTATGCCTTCTATTTCCTCTTCTAACAATGATTTTTCTGCTATCCCTTCCAAACACAGCCCATTCTCACTGTGATATTTCTCACCTCCAATGACACAAAGTGACTCTAAATGTCTGGACCAGAGTAGTGACCCCTTCATCTACCTAGAGAGATCTGTAGCGTGATCATAGGATCCTATGTGGAAATTCCCTGGACTCGTGGGTGGAATTGTGAGTGGTACAGGTTGGGGAGGGCAGGAGCCCCGAGCACCACCCGTCCAAGGTCTGACATGTGTCTTGTATCCAGCAGGGGGCACTGTGGCATAAGCATCTCCTTGGTGCTCCCAAATTTCTCAGCTGTTTGCCCTGCCTCCTGCAGGTCTTCTGCTCGCTCACAGGGCTAAATCACTTTCTCCCACCCTCGGTCTCTTTTTCTCAGTTCCAACCAAGGCTAAGTTTGAAGGAGGAGCTTGCCCAGCCTCCAGAAGGAGGAGATTTGCATGAAGCCCTTCCACCCTCAGGATCAGGGGCATATATAAGAAAGGTTGGTGGGCTCAGGCCTGGCTGTGGGGCTCAGGGAGCAGAGTCTGGGGGCGTCTCCACCATGGATCGGGCCGCAGTCCTCCTCGCCCTCCTGGCCCAGTGCACAGGTGCGGTCTGCAGGGAATTCCGGGAGGGCACCTGTGTGTCACCTGGGAGGAGGACCTCTCCTCCCGCCCTGGGAAAGGGGCCTGTTCTGTCCTCCCTGATCTCTGTGTTGCTCCCTCCTTGCAGGGTCCTGGGCCGCAGTTGTGCTGACTCAGCCCGCCTCTGTGTCGGGGTCTCCAGGACAGAAGGTCACCATCTCCTGCACCCGCAGCAGCGGCAGCATTGGGGACGACTATGTGCACTGGTACCAACAGCGCCCTGGCAGTGCCCCAACCACTGTGATCTATGATGATAACCAAAGACCGTCGGGGGTTCCGGATCGGTTCTCTGGCGCCATCGACAGTTCCTCCAATGCCGCCCGCCTGACCATCTCGGGGCTGCAGGCTGAGGACGAGGCCGACTACTACTGTCAGTCTTATGATAGCAACTATCAGCCCACAGTGGGGCAGACTCATGGGGAAGTGAGACCAGAACTCCCAGGGCCTCCCACTGGGGCTGCACTCCTCCTGCACTCACCAGAGGGAGTGCTCTTTCCTGTCTTCTGCTCCAATGCTAGAATTTGAATTTTCATGCGTTCTTGTATTTTATTTCCAAAAGGGGAAGATTTCCTTGAGCGTCTTGATTAGGAGATTTCCTAATCCTTTTACAATCACCTCACAGAGGTGATTTAGCTCAGAACAGGGTTCCTGAGCCTGCACACGACTGACTATGGGGGCAGGGCCATTGCTTGTGGACGGGGCTGTTCTGTGCATGTGGGACGTTTAGAAGCATATCTTTGGGCTCCACACATCACAAGGCAGTAGCACCCTCTTCTCTAAATTAGGACCCATGAAAATACCTCCAGACATTTCCAAATATCTCCTGGCGGAGGGGAATCACCCCAGTTTGGGAACCACTAAGCTAAAAGGAAATGTTCTCAGCTATTAGGAGACCTTTGGCTTTGACTCCTGTTTATGCCATTGAGCTGGACAAAGGGGACTAGATGTGTCATTTCTCTCTACTTCTGTGTTACCATCTGTTAGACAAAACAGTTACATCGAACTCACATGAGACCAGAGAGCCTGTGACCCGACTACATGGAATCTCCTCTCAACCAGAGTGTGGAGTCCAATTTGTGGCCAGAATAGGCATGTAATTAATTTTTTTAACTTTTATACAAAGCACATGAAAACATAACAGATCTCTCTTCATTTATTCCCTCAGCAATTATTTTTCAACCATGAGATTCAAAGATGAAGAGAGACATGACAAAGGTCTGCACTCCTCCCTCGGTTTACATTGAAGATGGGTGGAGACACAGACAAGAGCAGCAGCACAGATGAGTGCCTGATAGTGCCCTTTCCTTCACCAGGGACGCAGGTTCGAATTTTGGCTCTGCCTCTATTTGGCTCTGTTCAAATTTTGGTCCTTGGACCTCCACTGTCCATTATAGTCTCCACTAGCGGAATGTAGATATTCACATTTAAACTTAAGTTAATTTAAATGAACTAAAATTTAAAATTCTGTTTCTCACTCACATTAGTTGCACTTCAGCTGCCTACTGGCTTCATGTGCCTCCTGGCTGCCATAGTTGAGAGGACAGCGGTAGAACATTCCCACCATGGCAGGAAATTCTACTGGACAGAGCTGACTCGGACAACTCACTCACCACTGCCTTATCTCTGTTTCCCCACCTGCAAAATGCAAACATTTAGAACTCCACCACTCTTCACAATCTCCAACACATCTCTCCGTGGGATCTCACTTACGCCACTGAGATTTGACGTAAATTGTTACAGCAGCATAACTTAGCCTATTCTGACTGCTATAGGAATGAGAGTCAGAAACAGGGTGCTGCCGTAACAAAAACAATATAATAGATGACATTGGCTTTTGTGGCAGACAGTGAACATTGAATAGATTTTTATGGAGGTCACGAATATGGTTTTCCATTTTATTCACAAATATTTCATTGTTATCACCTGCGGAACATGAGCGAGGAAAAATGAGACGATGGCTGTGGGTTAAGAGGTTGGAAAACAGGTTAGAACCAGGAGTTAACCCCCATTGGAGAAATTTGATAACTTACTACACTTCGGAAATGTGCTTAGAGGAGAGCTGTCTCTTTCCCAAACGGAAGAAAAGAGCAAGGAAGTCCAGAAATGGTATAGTTGCGAGAGCAAATTATTCTCTATTCCATATGCTTAAAGAAAAAATGGAAATGTTTCGAGTTAAACATTGCACTGTCCTAAAGGAGACACATGGATGTGGCCGAGTTTGCCAGGGCACAGAGCTGCGTGCCCTCGTGTTCCCTGGTGTCCACTTTCTTAGCACTTTGTCCAACTGAGCACTCTTTACTCTTCTTTCCTCACCCCAGGTCTCCACGGCAGGCAGCATCTCCTAAACAGCTTTAAAATCCATCTTGTCCTATGATTTTCCATTGGGTTCCTCCCTTCCAGCCTTCTTCTCAGTTGGTCACGCTCTGCCTCCCGTCACCACTCCTCCTCTGCATCCCCTACCTCCTCAGAGGCTCTGCCTCTGGGAACTTCCTGTGCTCTTTCCTGCTCAGGTTCCCTCTTTCCCTTCTTAAAATGCCTCTCCCTCTCTTTCCACCCTGGGGGAGATCCCCTCCCAACTTCCCTCAAGAGCACTTTGAAATAGATGTCCCTTCTAAGAGAATTTCCCTAAAATATCCAAATTATGAGAGATTCTAAGTCTACCCTTCTGCCCTGTGGTACTTTTACTATTCACTGTGGTATTGATTTCTTGGAAGATTTTCCTTTGAATTTACAATCCTTTAGAAAACCTGGACAATCGGTTAGTATTTGTAATAGTGTCCTGAACCCACTGCTTGGCTCACACCATCTCAATCAGTATGTGTGGAATCCCAGTTAGAAGGTGAAGGACAGAGACTCAGGACCTGTGGGAGAGACTGAAGTTTTACATACGGTCATCAGGAGGCATGAGGAGACAGTTTCTGGAAGCCCCGTAAAGTGAGCTCACAGATGGAAAAGCTCCCCAAGAACTGCAGATCTGGGTGGGGCAATAAGGGTATTAGACCCTGAACTCACTGATACAGACCCAGGAGCTATGTCTGCTCTGTGTGGTCCAAGCACCTGTCCCATCCCAGGTCCTGCCCATCAGAGAATTCATCATCTATAGGCTCCCAGGCCCCATCTAAGGCACATTTGAGGGGTGACATATTTGCATGAACTGCTCCTCCACTGTGAGGCCACTGGGGAGGGGATAAAAGAGGCCCGGGGCAGCCCAGCCCCACTGGGCTCAGGGACTGTGGGCACCATGGCCTGGACTCCTTTCTTCCTCATGCTCCTCTCTTACTGTACAGGTAGGGACAGGCCTCAGAAGGCCTCAGAAATCAGGGTCTGGTTTCCAAGGAGAGCCACCCCCTCAGACTCAGATCTCTGAGAGCTTCACTCTGGTTTCTCCCTCATCACACATATTTGTCTGTGTTTGCAGGGTCCCTGTCCCAGCCTGTGCTGACTCAGCCGCCCTCCGTCTCTGTATCTCTTGGAGCAACAGCCAGACTCACCTGCACCCTGAGCAGTGGCTTCAATGTTGGTGACTTCTGGATACGTTGGTATCTGCAAAATCCAGGGAGCCCTCCCAGGTATCTTCTTACATTCCACTCAGATTCAGACAAGCACCAGGGCTCTGGGGTTCCCAGCCGATTTTCTGGATCCAACGATGCATCGGTCAATGCTGGGATTTTGCTCATCTCTGGACTCCAGCCTGAGGATGAGGCTGACTATTACTGTGCTACATGGCACGGCAACTCAAAAGCTTTCACAGTGCTTCAAATCCAGAGAGAAGTGAGACAAAAACCTCTCCACCGCTCTGCTCTGTTCACAAAGGAAGCCCAGGAGTTTCCGCCACCTGCCCCTGCACTGAGCCGGCTCTCAGACCTGCACAGACAGAGCCTCATAGACTTTCCTCAGTCCCGGTACAGAGACTCTTAAGCACAGCCACATGCAGGTGAGTAGAGATGCTCGCCCTACAGAGCCCATCCCCTTGATGTCCTGAGTTCATATCCACAGCTGCAAAAAAAACATTTGATAAGCTACAACATCCATCTATGATTAAAACACTCAGTAAAATGGGTTATAGAAGGGGGGCACCTCAACATAATAAAGGCAATATATGACAAACCCTCAGCTAATATCACACTCAGTGGTAAAACTGAAAGCTTTTCCTCCAAGAGAAGAAACAAGACAAGGATGTACAGTCTCACCACTCTTATTCAATATAATACTGGGACTCCTAGCCAGAGCAATCAGGCATGAGAAAGAAATAAAAGACGTCCAAATTAGGAACAGAGAAGTAAAATGGTCAGTTTTTGAGATGACATGATTCTTTATATAGAAAACCCTAAAGACTCCACCAAGAAACTATTAGAAACACTAAACAACTACAGTAATTTTTCAGGATACAAAATCAATGTAAAAAAATCCACTACATTTCTATATAAGAACAAGGAAATTTCAGAAAAAGAAATTAACTCCCCCCCCAACAACAATTTCCTTTGCAATTGCAACCAAAAGAATAAAATACCTAGAAATAAACTTAACAATGGATGTGAAGGACCTATGTACTGAAAACTACAGAGTGTTATCAAAAGAGATTGAAAAAGACACAATGAAATGGAAAGATATTCTATGTTCATGGATTGGAAGAATCACCATAGTTAAAATTTCCATATTACCCAAAGCAATATGCAGATGTAGTGAAATCCCCATCAAAATCCCAATGTCGTTGTTTAGAGAAATAGAATAAAAAATCATCAGATGTGGTTGGCAGCACCAAAGATCCTAAATAGCCAAAGCAATCCTGAGAAAATAGAACGAAGCTGTAGGTATCACACTACCTGACTTCAAATTACACTACAGAGCAATGATAATAAAAACGGCATGGTATTGACAAAAAACAGACACATAGACCAATGGAACAGAACAGAGAGCCCAGAAATAAACACACATGTATATGGGAAAATAATTTTTGATAAAGGAGCCAAAAACATGCGATGGAGAAAGAAAGACTCTTCAATAAATGATGCTGGGAAAATTGGAAAGCCACATGCAAAAGAATGAAACTAGACTACTGTTTGTCCTCATATACAAAAATTAACTCAAAAAGACTAAAACAAAGACCTGAAACAATAAATTCCATAGAACAAAACATAGGTGCTAAGCTTATGGACCTTGGTCTTGGAGAAGATTTTAAGAATTGGACCCCAAAGGCAAGGGAAGTAAAGGAAAAATATATGAATGGGAATATACCAAACTGAAAAGCTTCTGCACAGCGAAAGAGACTGCCAAAAGGAGATGATTCCACCTCAGGCTCTAGGATTGACTCACAGACACCACTCGTCTGAGTGCTTCAATCTCGGCTTCAGTTTACAAAACCAACATACAGAAATAAATTGCATTCTATATACAAGCAATAAACCATCAACATTTAAAAAAACAAAACAATACCGTTTATGATTATGTAATTATGAAATACTAAAGGATAAATCTAAGAAAAATTGGAAGTGTTGTACACGGAAAGCTACAAAACATTGCAGAGAAAGGAAAGAAAACTTTCATAAATGAATAGGTATTCCTGATTTGTGGATAGAAACACTGAATTTGGTTAAGAGAATGATTTTTCCTAAATTTATTGACCCATAGCCGGTGCCAATAACTTCCTGATATAAAAAGAAGCAAATAAAAAATGATATTATTCAAAAATAAAGAAATAAAACTCTTAAGATAATTTTAGAAGAGAGAATTCAGTAATACATAAGATGTATACACCTACAATGTATCAAAATCACAGTATTTGGAAATCAGACCGTAGATGTGTGAATAGAGTGAGTGGCCTGGTGAGCTGCAGAAACCAGCTGGGCTCTCAGGCCTTTGGGCCACGGGGAGGTGTGCGCCCTGCCACCAGTAGGGGGCGCTGTGGAACTTCCACCCAGCTGCTCAGTGAGGACAATTCACTAACAGGAGCCCAGGCCAGGCAGTTGGGCCCCGTGCTCACTGATGAGGCCTCAGCAGCTGTGTCCTCTCTGCCCTGGCAGAGTACCTTGAACAAGGACCTTTGTGTGGTCTCAGCAGGTGCTTCCTCCCAGGACTCTCCCAAGGGGTGAAGCCAACCTGCACCCCATTCCCCCAAACCAGTCTGGGGTGTGAGCTGAGCTGCAGCCCCAGGGCGCAGGGAGGGGCTGGCACTCAGGGGAGGGACTCACATTTGCATGGAAGCCCCTCCTGTGGCAGAGGGTGGGGAAGAAAAGGGGGCCTGGGGAGCCCAGCCCCACTGTGGGTTCAGGGGCTGTGGGCACCATGGCCTGGACTCCTCTCCTCCTCGTGCTCCTCTCCCACTGCACAGGTAGGGACAGGCCTCCAACCAGGCCTCAGTTCCCAAGCTTATTCCCTTCACCCTCAATCTCCTGAGAAACGTCCCCTGGTCCCCGCCCAGCACTGACAAGTGTCTGTGTCTGCAGGTTCCCTGTCCCAGCCTGTGCTGACTCAGCCGCCCTCCGTCTCTGCATCTCCTGGATCCACAGCCAGACTCACCTGCACCCTCAGCAGTGGCTTCAGTGTTGGCAGCTACTACATATACTGGTTCCAGCAGAAGCCAGGGAGCCCTCCCCGGTATCTCCTGTGGTATAAGTCAGACTCAGATAAGCACCAGGGCGCCGGGGTCCCCAGCCGCTTCTCTGGATCCAAAGACCCCTCGGCCAATGCAGGGCTTCTGCTCATCTCTGGGCTGCAGCCTGAGGACGACGCTGACTATTACTGTGCTACAGGCCATGGCAGTGGGAGCAGCTATAGTTACTCACAGTGACTCAGATGACGAGGAACTGAGACAAAAACCCTGGGCCCAGAGATTCTGGCTCTGAGCCTCGATTCAGGGAGAAGCTTCTGTGGAGGCATCTGCCAGCTGGACCACTTTGCAGTGAGATGTGTCCTCGAAAGGGGGGGAGAGTCACACACAATGAGCAACAGCACAGGCGTCCCAGGAACACACACTGAGGGGCCATCAAGGACACCCGACCAGCCCAGTGTCTGCTGTAAATTTTAACAGGAATGAACATTTCTCAGTAACATCTCAGTTCTTTTCCACTATTGTGTCTTGTTTTGCCCTCACATGGAACCTTCACCTCTGACACTTGTGGGCACCAAATATGTGGGCATCTTTCTCCACAACAGCAATTTGCGGGGACACCAGCTGATGTCCTACAACATCACCCAGTTCCAACACTATCTGCCTGGGGACGGTGTCAGAGCCACAGTTAAGGGGCCAGTCCCAGGGGACTGCCCGCCCTTCAGGTGCCGATCACGGGAAGGAGGTCCCAGGTTTCCCACAACTTCTTGGCTATAAAGCGAAGGTTCCCATGATCTTTCCCTTGGTTTCAGTTACTTTGCTAGATTTTTGGGTGACTGCCCCTGAACCCTTCCCCCTCCTCAAGCAAACAGGGGGAAGAGGTCAGAAAAATCCAAGCTTCTAATCAGGCCTCGGTCCTTCCAGTGACCTGTCCTCAACCAGGAGCCCAACCAGAGTCACCTTATTCAAACAAGAGGCACGCCTGTCACCCAGGAAATTACAAGGGTTTCCAGGATCCTGGGGCCGACAGCAATATATATTTTCTATTTTGTCACAATACAGTGTCTGCAACTACAGATGATGACCAGGACCGTCTAAGTCACCCACAAAATTAATGTCCTAAGTGGGAATCCTATGTTACTAATAATACGTCATATCTGATGTGTTAACATTCTCCCTGGTCATACACACAATTCTCTCCTTCTAGGAACAAAGCTACAAAAAGTTGGTGACAACTACCACAGACTCTCAGTGACAGCACCCCTCGCCCCTTCCCAGCCCTTCTCTGCTCTGCGGCTGCATCCCTCCCCCCCCATCTCTCCCTCGGCCTCTTCAGGTCTAAACTCCATCTCCTCGCCAGGGTTTCAGAGAAAAGTGACCCGTCCTTGCTGGAGCCTCCCTCCCCCG